GCCCCGTTTCGTTGCCATCCCTAGTTCCAAAAGGTAATTAGCACATAACATTCCTACCTTTCATTGTTATTATAGAAAACGTTACTACCTTTCATTTTTGACATTTTCACCCTTATTTCTATCTTTCATTGCGCAAAGGGTCATTTTCACCCATTTTTTCAATTAAAAATTATGAAATGACGAATATATCACTCTCTTTAAATAAAACAAAAAGAAAAAGAAAAAACTAATAGCAACACCATCCCAATTTTTTTTAAAAAGACAAATAAGTCACAAATAAATTATTAAAAGGGTAATTAGTACATAGCCTTCGTTTGACATCCATTAATTTCTCATTCCCATTTTCATTCTTCATTTCACCACATATTCTCCAAATAAAATAATATTACACACAAAATAAAAACTTTTGATTGCGCTTTTCCACCACACATTCTCACATCAATCATTATTTCAAAATTTCTATTCTCCTCAAAATTAGATTCAAACACAAGCATAATGTCCCTATTTTTCACCGTTATTGCGAAAACGTCCATAACTTTCATTTTTTTGGCACTTTCTCTATTAATTACATATTTGATTGCGCAAATCATCATTTCTATCCATTTTCACCCAATTTCTCAATAAAAAGTTGTGAAAGCTAAAGAATTAATTGCAATTATAATCCCAATTTTTTTAAAAGTACAAACAAGTCCCCAATAAATTATTTAAAAAGTGCAAATGAGTCGTAACTAAAAAATAAAAAAATAAAAATGATTCCCAAATAAATTATTAGAAAATTAGAAATTAAAAAAAAAAGTACATTTTTTTATTTAAATAGGAGGGTATATTCGTCATTTCACGATTTTTTATTGAGAAATTGGATGAAATTGGATAGAAATGATGGTTTGCACAATCAAATGTGTAATTAAGGATGAAAATGCCAAAAAATTAAAGGAATTGACGTTTTTAATAATAATGGTGAAAGATAGAGACATTATGTACTAATTACACTTTTAATAATTTATTTTTGACTTATTGGGACTTTTTAAAAAATTTGGGACTGTGGTTGCAATTAATTTTTTCTTTTTATTTTTGTTTTATTTAAAAAGAGAGGTATATTTGTTATTTCATGATTTTTAATTGAGAAAATATGTAAAAATGACCTTTTGCACAATGAAATGTGAAAATAAAAGTGAAAATGTCAAAAAATAAAAGGTATGGATGTTTTCCACAATAACAATGAGAAGTAAGAACATTATGTGCTAATTACCCTTGTCTAAAATAACTTATTAATTTTGTTTTACGCACATTATTTGAACGGTAACATAGAAATTGCTTATAAATAACTTATTTTTAACTTTATCGCACACACCTGTTCCCTGAAATGCACAAATAAATATCTGAAAGATGCACGTGAAGGATGATAGTGACAGAGGGCATTAATCAATAAACACTTCAATTTTCATTTTCAAGAATAACGCCGGTCACATCATTAACCGGTGTAGAACTCCAGATCAGGTCCAGGATTAGAGTCAAATCGACCTTCCCTCTCATCTCAATGTGACACTTCAATTTTCATTTTCATGAGTAACAAGATCCAATGGTTGAACAGTAAAATGAGTCAATCCTAGTAATTCTATTATAGCTTCCACTTTAGAATTCGGGTAAAGCAAGCTTGCTGATACACTGCATTGCATCTTTATTTCACCAGTGACACAGAATTCAGCGGACTCATGGAGAAAGGCACTCGGGCTCTGGAGCTACCTCGGCTCCTGCATGGCCATTAGGTGGGTGCTCGTCAAAACCCCATAACTTAGCAGCTTTCACGTCATCCTGCGCCATTTGTCTCGAGAATTCCTCGTGGTTATACTGCAGCGTCGCTTTCCCCCTGAACTCGGCCGGGAGATTTCCACACTGTCCTTGTTCTTCGGGTACACGAATTTCACCTTCTGAAACGTTTTGGGATTCAAAAAGTATCTTACAACCTGCAACACAGAAGCATACAAACACATTGAGAATTGTGTAAAAGAACCTTCCAATCCTGTGCAAAAAACATGCAAAGAAATGTAAAGATCTCGTGACATATACCATAGACAACTGGTACTGTTCAATCAAAATATGTGTAAATGCCAATAAAGTTCGAGTTTTTTGCCATAGGTTCAATCGAAGAAAACAAACGATACAATAATTGGGTTCTTGTTAGAACATCAGTTGATCTAAATCGTGCAACGGACATTCAAATACACCGCCCCTTGGAATTTTCAATGACAACGAGAGGAAGGGTATTTGAATATCAAATAGAAAAATATGTTTTAAGAGGATTTTAGAAAGCAAACTGATAAATTCAAGGGAGGAACTGAGATTTAATCTGGAAATTATTGATGAAAATAACAGAACAAAAAGGGACAGATAATGCAGGAAAACAGAGGATAGGCCTGCTGAAATAACAGCAGGGAAGCAGAAGAAATTATTCTATTCAATCAAGCTTAAAGAAATACAATGTAAACTAGTCTATATATAGATGAAATAGCTAACAAATTATGTAACAAACTAACAATCTAACCAACATAAGAAGAGACTAGAAGAAACTAGAAGAAAGCTGGAAGCATAAGCTAAATTCTGTTGCTGTAAAATGTGAACTGATCTGGTGCTTGCAGGAACCGGTTTGCTGGTGAAAGGTGATCTGCTGTGTTGCAACTCCATGGTGATCTGGTAAGCTGGTCTTGTTCTGGTGATCTGGTTTTATTATTCCAACACAAACCTTCCAGAATACCTCGAATATACGTGGAGGGCTGTACAAAAACGCTATGGCTAATCTCTCAGGGTAATGGTTTTGCAATATATTGATAGTATTTCGAGCAGATTTGATGGGGACATTGTTGCTTAAAGACCATCCCGTAAAATCAATTAACCACGCCATCTGTTCTTGACCTTTGGGAAGATTAAGAATGGCATTTTCTATGAGATACACCAGATGTCTCATCTGGTTATCTAGCGATGATATATTCTGCAAAGGAACAGCGATATGATATCATAATTTTCTACAGGAAGAAAGGCTGACCAAAATAAAAGTTCAATTGAAGTATTTAATGAAATTTCAAGATTCACCGGATTACACCTGCATTCCTGGTCTCAGTATAAGAACAGTCCTTCCATGACGATCGTGAAAATTAGCTCTGTATACTTTCCCAGTCTCTCCTTCGACTGCAACTTCATGCTAAAAAGTGGAGTGCATGTAAATGGTTAATGCAAATGTAATAGCGAGTTCTAAATATAAAACCATTAACAATTCAAGTAACAAGTAGGAGCCATGCCAAATAATGAAGGATTATCTGATCATCAGCAGAGTTGATGGACCGAGTTGATGGATCAAAACTGAAACCAAGTTACAGCAAACACAGCCAGCCCTATCCGTTGAGATCTGTTGCGAGGCCCAGCCCAATTCTAGTAAATAAAAGAGATAAAACGTGTTCTACCTTTATTGTTTCAGCACACGTTTTTACTCCATTTTCTGTTATTTTGTTAGAGCTTAGTTGTCATTTCCTTATTGGTTTTCACGATTTTCTCTCCATCTATTTATGATGGAGATCACTTCAATTGTAGTTAGATTTGAATGAATAATTCACAGAATACCAATTACTTTTATATTTGTTCATGGTATCAGAGCATGGTTCGATGCTCTGAGGAATAAAGCTTACTGATACTAAAATGGTAGCACACGAAAATCTGCCCCTAATTAAATCAGAAGACGATGAAGCTGCAGAAAAACAAATGGCGGAGAAGGCGTATTTTAATGGAGATCCATTAGATTTACAAAGCTCAGACCATCCAGGAATGCAACTAGTTACCTCTCACTTAACAGGTCAAAATTATCTTAGTTGATCTATTAAAATAGCATTGGGAGCAAAGTTAAAATTGGGTTTTATTAATGGAAGTTGTGGAAAACCAGTTGAAAATTCAGCTAGATTCGAGCAATGGGTACGAGTTGACTGTATGGTGAGATCATGGTTGCTGAATTCAATTTCAAAGGAAATAGTGGAGGCTTTTATTTACACTTTGTCAGCTAAGGATCTCTGGGAGGAACTAAAAGAGAGATACGGGGAATGCAATGGACCCCTATCATACCAATTGCAGAGAGAAATTGGAAGCATTTCTCAGGGGATGTTGACTGTTGAGAAATACTATACTAAATTGAAGAAGCTATGGGACGAACTAGCATGTTTAATGCCTATTCCGGTCTGCACCTGTACAGCATCCAAGGAGGTATCAGATCTGACAATTTTCAATCGGTTAATGCAATTTTTGATGGGGTTAAACGATACATTT